CCCCCCCCCCCCCCGCCCAAACCCTCCCCCATAATCCCAGGCTCACTTCGTGAGGTACTAAACGAAGCTCCCACACGGGGAGCTTGCGTGATTACACCATTTTTGCGGCTTTTAACGTCTCCAACGCTGCAATTTTTTAATGCTGGTCTTGGAACGTCTCAAATGCTGCAAATTACAGCATTTGCTGGCTTTGGAACGCTACAAACGCTGTCAATTATAGCGTTTTCTGGTCTTGGAATGCTTCAAGCGCTGTAGATAACCGTATCTGCTGGGCTTAAAATGTTTCCAACGCTGTAAATGACAGCGTCTGCTGGTCTAGGAAACCTTTACACGCTGTAGTTTACAGCGTATGCCGGTCTTGCTGGTTTTGGAGTGCTTCACAAGCTGTAATTTACAGCATTTGCTGGTCTTGGAACATAACAAGTCAGCAGTCGCTGGTCTTTGAACGCTTCACACGCTGCAAATTACAGTTTTCTGTTGGTCTTGGAATGATTCACCTGCTATAAATGACCGCGTCTGCTGGTCCTGGAAAATTTTATCTGCTGCAGTTTACAACATATGCTGGCCTTGCAACGCTCCACTCCTTCAACTAGTTCCCTGGAAAAAAGAGTGGGCGTTTGGAATTGGGGGTACGAGGAATGCTTAGGTGCGGGCTTCATGTTTCCGGCTTAATTACTTGCTGTTACTTGCTGGTTGATACCGAAGGATGGAACCGAAAAAAATCACCATATCATTGAAGATCCTATATTGTTTGGAAACGAAGGGCCAAACATTTTAACCCATCAGCACCGACCGCTTTTCAGCGCCTCCTACTTCGTGGCTTTTGAGGTTCATTTAACAAAGTAGCCGATTGCCTTCTATCTTGTGCTGCATAACGTATCCTGCGATGCAGAACTGCGTTGTCCATCCAAACAACTCCTTGAGATCCATGAGCCTGTCGAATCTGATTGGAGGAGGGGATCTGATAATAAGAGTGATGTATGTCCCCAAGCGATGGGGGCGCGTGCGATGGAGATGTTCCAACCTCATGGAAGGTTCTGTAAGACTGGATTCTGTCCAATGTACTTTGGGCCGCCCCGTCCTATTGGGACCCCGGATAAGTCATCAATGTTGCCTAATATTCAAGAGATTCCGGGTGTCTCATTATATGACCTAATAATTAATTGCAACCTACATTGTGAATAAAGTTGTCCTGGAGTAATGATCCTTCCAGTGTTGAACGCTGTATCCGCCAAGAACTCAGTAGAGCAAGGAGTATCGGTGGGAGAGATAACCTTATGATAGTATGAAGATTTGAATCCAAATATACAACGCATGCCCCGAAAATGAACAGCATTGATTCGAATAACTTGCCGGGGGGCCAGGGGGGTAAGAAGAACACTATCCATAGCATACACGAGAACCGCCGGAGAGATCCGTGGGCCATAAGAGGTCTGAGAAGGTTTGAGGCTGTAATAGCCTTCGAGACTCTATTACGAGTACGTATATTTTAAGCTGGTGGAGCCCAAGAAGACTCCCAGGCATTTGATCTCGGCCGATAACGGCACTGGCTCTCCAAGGGCCGCACCTGCGTGACAAAGCGGGCACCTACATACTAGATTGGAGGATGGGGAGTAGAAAATACATGAAAATACGATTTTCCGAGCTTAGACGGAGGTGCTGACACTTTTCCTCATTCGGTTTGAGTCCTCTTGTCTTCCCGAAATGGGTTACCAGATGTAATAATCAATTCCTATGATAAGAGGAATTACCTAGCAACACTGTGTCATCAGCGTGTTCTAAATCCCATAGTGGGCCATTTGCCTGAAATATGCCTGGAATTTTGCCGAACTGCATCCGGTATGATGATTCCACATCTGAAAAGAGATGCGCTAAAACGAGTCCGAAAAGATATGGAGAGAGGGCATCCTTGCCTGAGTCCCCTTGTCTGGGAGCACTTCTTAGAGATATTGCCCGACTCCCGAACTCTAAAAGTAGGATTCCTGTAGATGGCCATAACGGCTTGAATAAATGTTGGAGGAACCCTCATAATTTGAAGAGCCTTTTCAATGGCAGCAAACGTGACGAAATCGAATGCTTTGCTCCAGTCGAGGAAGAGAGCATGTAATGGTTCAGATTGTCTTTCATGAGCTTCTATGATACGTCGCATAATTAATGTGTATGGGTTGCGTGGTAGAGCGGTTGGGTCTAAAACCAAGTTGTCTGTCGCGAACGTCCTCATCAAAGTAATGAACCAATCGTCTCTGGAGCAAAGAAGCATACACCTTATACATGGTATTATTGAGAGAAATTGGCCTATAATTGTCAAAAGATCTGGTACCTCTCTTCTGGTCCTTAACCAACATGACCACTTGCGATACCATCCCGCCAGAAGGAGCTGCACCTTCCCTTTCTCTATTGACAAACCATGAAAATCGTCTCGAAGTGCCGTGGTAATAAACTGTTTCTTGTTTTTGCGGGCCGATCTTTTCACCTGCTTCCCGAGCTGCTTCCCTTCTTGGAAGCTAAAATCTGTATGAGATTGCATCTCTGCAATCAATTCCAATGTGCGTTGCGTGATCCAGGGTTTTTCGGGGGAAAATTGGAGTTTGGGTATGGTAGGAGATGTTTCTGAAAAAGGTCCGTGAGAAAACGGGACTGTTCTTCAGGGCCAAGAGATTTCCAGGTATCCTCATTAAAGCCTATATCTGGCGGGTTAGGAGGACGCACCCGGGGGCCATGAAATCTGCCTGAACTTCCAAAGAATGTGACCCCCGTTTTGGCCAAGGAGTTGGCTAGCTCGTTGCCATAAATTTCTACGTGTGCCGGGACTTTATGGAGAGTAACCCTAAACTGTATGCGTAGTGCAGTGAAGTATGGCGGCGCAAGCGCGACCAATTGATGGTGAGTATTCGGGACTGAATCTCCCAAAATAAGGCGCATTGCGTACTGAGAATCTGTATGCACATCGACACGGGAGCCTCTGGGCAACTGGTAATCAAAGAGCTCGATAAGTGCTCGGAGTTCTCTTGTATTATTAGAACCATAAACATCTGGCAACACCCTATCATCCGTGGGCTGCGATTTTACCATTCCATGAGAAGAAAACCATGTTTGGGAGGGACCTGGGTGACTCTCTGGCGGGGCATGTCTTGACTAACCACTCTATTGTTCGGATAAGAACCATCTGTATAAGCTACCCAACAGTTCAGTGATTGTGGGAGATCGAAAGAATTCCCTACGGAATGGAGAAGGTGTGTCTCCACTTTAGCAAAAAAATTCCTTGATTTCGAGAAATCCAGCTTGGGATCAACTGGGGACGTACTATTGGGGGAGTATCCTAGTACAGACTTGAAAAAGGAGAGGAAGCTGTCTTGAATTGACAGCCTGTTGGAAGATGGATCCTTTAATTTTGATTTCTCGTTTCATACCAACCGGAGCGACCACATAGTCCAAGGTGGTCCAATCCTCAATATTAGGGTCCTGAAGTAAAGGGTCTCTGCAGGTCATCTCTTTATGAGTGACCTTCCTGGCATCTGGTAGATCGACAAAGGTCTGCGCAGAGATAGATCTCTACCTTGCATGAAGGAGTAGAGATACTCAGCACTGTCCCCATCATGGTCTACAATTGATTTTCCTTTCCCCCGCACATGGGGGCCTATGTGAGAGTGATCTGGATCCAGACTAGAGGAGAGTCTTGAATTAAAATCTCCTAAGAACATCATCTTTGAGTTATTGCGATCTTCTACAATAGAATCCAAAACTTCCCAGAACTCCAACTTTCTACGCAGGTCTTCCTGGGAGTC